TGAGTTCAGTCAGGATTTATTGCAGTGAAATTATTGGCTATTTCAAATCTTCCAGGGTAGGCAGAAGCCCATATGAAAACAGTTAAATGCTATTCAAAGAGAATCCAATATGTTAAGAACATGATAGGGGAGACTGAATGGAAAATTCTGTAATTGCTGTGTTCATATTTCATGGTAAAATATATTCAAGATTAACTGTATTCTAATAGAATAGTACATTGATCCAAAGCAATTGGGGGCAGCCGGGTTGGGTGGGAGGAAGATAGCATGTTCACAGAATTCCCTGCTCTGCATGGCGAGCTTTGAATTTCTTCTTTCATAGCACTGAGCTACCAGTCCTCAAGTCAGCATCTTCAGGAAAGGAAGCTGATGTTTCTGTTTAGGTGAGGTGTGCTGGCCACCCTGGGAGCTGGGAGGGTCTAAGCAGTCCCCTAAGGCCCTCCAGTGGCTTTCACAGCCATCCACTGAGTTTGGAAAACAGTCAGTTTTTCTGGAAATATATGCAACATTAAACCACAGGCCTAGTTTTAGGTATGTTGTAAACATTCTCGCAGTGAGGGTAAAAATAGTCCCCTTTGATTCACTGCCTGACAGTTCTTGCTCTTAAGATTGGCTAAGGGGAGCAAAGGAGCTGGGGATGGAAAGGATGGGGGTGGGGGCAAGGAAGAAGGAAGAGCAGTGGGGGTGAGGGGAGAAGAGAGATGGGGAAGGGGCAGGCAGAAGTTGGGGAAGGAGAGGAGAAAGGTGATCATCTGGGAGAGAGGAGAAGGGGGAGGGGAGGAGGAAAAGGAGGGTGAAGACTAGGATGGACAGGAGGAGGAGTCTTGTCAGTTGTGGTCCTCTGTCTTGCAGGGAAGGAGTTTTAGGCAAACAAGGAACCTGAAATACCTTGGACTGTTCGATCCACTAAGAAGTTCAGATCTCCAGGGTAAAGTTCCTGGCAGGAACCTCTGAGAACAAAGACGCCTGGGTTGTATGACGATAACTAAAGCTGGCAGAGCCACTGGCTGCCTGCCTGCCTTGTTTTCTGACCTCACAATTTCAGCTGGATTTTGGGTTGGTGTAACTATGAGCATGAGACAGGAAATAAAGTCTCAGCAGACAACCAGAGTGCATTTCCTAGCAGGGTGAGTTAGCCTGGCCTTCCTGGGAGGAGATAAGGGATTTTCCAGGCTTTCCCAATTCTCAGTGTATCTTACATTTGGGGACAGAGTCATAACTGGAGCCCATTGATCTGTGGCAGAGAAGCAAACCTGAAGAAGGAATGTCTGTGGCATTTAGAATCTACATACAGAAGAGAAAGATATTTACAAGAAATACTACTAATTTGGTTAGTAGTTTAATGTCAAACTTTTCTGTTGAGCTATTTACATTTTTATTTTTCTGCCCTCTACTATATTTCACCACATATTTATTAGTTTGACATTTATTTTTTTTAAAGCAGCACTTTTAACTGAATTTTGAAAATGTAATAAAGAATAGCATAGTGGAGAAATTGCTTACCTTGCAAGTACAAGGACACAAGTTCAATTCCCAGAACCCAGGTAAACATTCCAGGCACTGCAGTGCCCTTTGGTAATCATGGCAAAGTTAGGAGAATTCCCAAGGAGACTAGCTAGTCTAGAATGGGTGGGTGACTTCCAGGCCAAAGACCTTGCTTCAAAGCAGGTGGACAGCTTTCCTGAGGATGACACCAATGGTTGTCTTCTGATTGTTTCCCCATGCACACATATCAATTAAAAATATAAACACCTGTTTATTTTTATAGAATTTTTCCTTATATCTCTATTTCCCTGAATAGTGAGTATCTTTGAAAGAGTTTTGCTCCTGGGTCTGCAGACTCATAATTTGAACCCATCTTCTTTGTTTTACATTAATGACATCAATCCAGGAATTTCATAGGTCTTTAGAAAATTCCTGGTTTTCTGCTTCAATTAGGCTCATTGGATGATGTGGGATGTCCTTCTGTACGCTGCGGATACGTAAGATGGGTGGCTTTTATTGGTTTTTAAATAAAGCTGACCTGGCCAAGCAGAATAGAGCCAGGTGGGAGAACCAAACAAAGATATGGAGAGAAAGTTGCTGGGAAAGCAAGATGTGAGGTACCAAGCCATGAGCCATCGTGAAAATATAAAATAGTAGAAATGGGTTAATTTAATTGTGAGAACTAGTCAGTAATATGTGTGAGCCATTGGCCAAACAATTGTAATTCATGTTAAGCCAATTACGATTGGTTATTTGGGAACTGGTGGGCAGGACAAGAAACCTCCAATTACAACTGGACATAAATCTAAGTTTCATACTTTGTTAACTGCTCAACTTAGAATTTTTTTGAAATTTGGTTTCTCTTTTGTAAATTAATTATGTCTACTATAGGGTTGCTATTGTGATGAAATGTATTGATTGAAGTTAAATTTGAAAATTGTAAAAATAATTAGAATAATTCCCATCACAGTGCCAAGAATCTTGTAAATACCACAGACATGTTAGACTGGGTTATTCATTCAGTAATTCAATTTTGGTTCATTGACTATTCAGTATTACCTTCCGTTTGACTTTGCAGTCTCTTTTGCCTGGATATTACTTGTCTCTTTGCTTAATTAAGCCAAACCTTGCAGGTCTGAACTCAAGTGTCATTTCCTGTTGGAGTTTCCCTTGTGCCTCTAGAACAGACGAGCTTCTCAATGTGGCGAGTTCATTTCTTAATTATATTTATCAGAGTTTGTAATTATGCCCTTGGCTTTTGTTATTTGATGACCCTCCCTTATGGACCATGTACCTTATAAGAGCCTAAGGGTAAAGAGAAATAGGCTGCCTTTTGCTCACCATAATATTCTCGGTGACTCTTCTCAGTACACTCATGAAATAGCGGCTGCCTGAACCAATAGATAAACATGCCATCATTGTTCTAAGCATTAGGAAGTCAAAGATCAACATTACTTGTTGTATGGGGCTTAGAAAAAAAAAAGGTTGAAATCTGGTCTAGAATGAACTTCTGCACAGGTCAGAGATAGGGTAAGCCCTACTTAAAGTGATGACAATCCAGAGACTCACACAGCCTGTTGTCCTAATTATTGGCTCTGGTAGCTGCCAAGCAATTGAGAGCATGGTCCCAACCCAGTAAAAATCTGCCTAGTGCAGCAGGGTAATGAGCCTTACTCCCTTAAGTAAATTGTGCTTGGGAACCCTGCTTGTCTCCTTTTATTCCCTGAATAATATATGAACAGTACTTCTGTAAAACTTTGTCTTTTCCTGCCACATAATTTTGCATACACTCATCAACTCAGACATGTAAGCATACAACATGTAATTGTTTTCTAGGGTTTGGGCTAGTCTGCTGTTCTGGACATAAGATGTCACACCTTCAAATCAAATTTTGGTTGGTATTGTCACACGTGCAATCCAACTACATAAGATGTAGGGAAATGGGGGCTGAATCACTGCTCCCCCACAACTTGTGTCTATTTGCATTTCCTTTTGAACATAAGAACAGTAGCTTATAGTGATAAACACCTTCCACATTCACTTTGTAAGGAGAGTAGCTACTTAGTAAGTGGCTACAAGTGGTCGGGCGTTGGTGGCACACGCCTTTAATCTCAGCACTCGGAGTCAGAGGCAGGCAGATCTCTGTGAGTTCAAGGCCAGCCTGAGCTAGAGACAGAGTGCCCGCATAGGATCCAAAGCTACACAGAGAAACCCTGTCTTGAAAAAACAAACAAGCAAAAAACAAAAACAAATAAGTGGCTACAGGCAATAACAAACAGAAAATGGCAGGTGTGGACCCCATGTGTCACTGTGGCTGTGCTGTTCCCTTCACTTAGGCTCTAATCAGCACATCTCCCAGTTTCCTGCTCTACTGAAAGCTGAATTCTTCCAGTTGAAGCCAGAACTCATGCTTTTTATTACTTCTCTTCCTTTCATAGGCAATGCACCCCCTTCCTGGGTTTCCCAGGGAAAGTTGGAAACCTTCCCAGGAATGGACAGATGCTCTGAGACCTGGCTTTTCTAAGGATAATAAGAGATTTCACTCCCAGTCTTCTGTCTATACTGATTCTTAATTCATAGAAAACTGGCCTCTGATTTGCTTAAACAACGAACAGATTTGTAATTCCACATAATCAGACACACCAAGCTATGCTGACCTTCAGGGATACTTAGTTGAGCATTGAAATGATAAACCCCTGAAGAATGCACATGAGTCACATGACCACTGTGATCTAAAAGTGCTTGTTGATTAGCTTGCAGCTGAATTTCTGAACCAATCACTGGAATGGAAGAATTGATTTATGTAAATGACTTATTCTAGTGGCTCCTGGTCCTCTGTGAAATTAGCATTAAATAAATTTATAGTTGTTTCAGTTATTTGGGAATGATGAAGAGGCCCTTCATATCTTAAAAATTACAAACAATTCTGTAATGTCATCTTACGTTTTGATCCGAAGTACTTTAAAAACAGCTTTACCAAGATGTAATTTACAAAGTACAGAACTGATGTATTTAAAGAACACAATCCAATACATCTTTAGACTGTGTAATTGGTACTACCACAGCTTTAGAATATTTTCATGAACATTTCTCTGTTGCCCTCCTGAAAAACAAGCAAATAAGCATTGAATTACTTTAACTGTCTACCTCTTTACCCCAGAGAACTACCAAGCCCTCTGCTTTCTGTTCATAGGTTTGCTTATTCTGAATATCTGATATAAGAGGAATGAAATACTGTGTGACCTTTGGTGACTGGTTTCTGTTACTTTGAATGATATTTGCAAACTTCCCCTGTGTTGTACAGTTCAGCAGTACCCATTCTTTTATCCCAAATGATACTTCACTGTTTATATAAACAATATTTTAATTATTTTAAAGTTAATTGGTGTATGTGATTGTTATGTGTATATGTTATTGTGGTTGTATATGCATGTGTGTAAATATGCAGAAGCCAGAGGTCCATATCATATATATATTTTTTTTTGATAAAGTTCTATCTTCTTTGTTTGAAACAGAGTCACTCTCTAGAACGTCAAGCTCAACTATTGAACTAGAATGACCAGTCTTCAGGCAGCCCATTCCTCTTGGATCTTTCTGTCTCTGTCTCTCATCTACAGGTATATATCATTGCACTTGGGTACTAGAAATTCAAATTCAGGTATTCATGAAAGCATGGCAAACATTTTACCTACTGAGCCAACCTCTCAGTCCTCTAGATAGAAAATATTTTTAATTCATTCATCAGCTGATGAACATCTGGACTGCTTCTACTTTTTGGCTACCCTGATTTTTGCTTTCAATACTGGTGTGCACATTTTACATGAATATACATTTGCATCTCTCTTGAACACACATATCCAGGAGTACTACTGACCAATCAGATGGTAACTTTAAATATAGGAGGTACTGCTGGATTGTGTTCCAAAGTAATTATACAATTGTCATTCTTCCCTGATTTGCAGATGGAAAGATAGCTGATTATATTCTGTGACCATGATTTTCGTAAACACACAAAGCATTGTTTGCAAGTTACTGCTACTCACTGCTCTTTCCAAGGATGCAGCCAAACAAAGGGGAGACTGTATTCTTGTTTGCAACATTACCAGGAACTGTTTGCTATTTCAGAAAAAAAAAATCTAAGCATACTATTAGTTGCTATCTAAGTTATGGACAAAGCACAACTGTGTCAGACTATGTCTGTATTCTTGACCAGGGAGAGCTTAGTTTCTCAGTGGTCAGCATGTCTCCCAAGCCAATGTTTAGTGTCTGGGGAAAATTACCACTGGCATCTAGCAGGTAGAGTCCTGGACTAGATTCACATCTAATCCTAGTGGGAACAGTGTTTAGGACTGGCACCCATTCATAGTTCTCCAGTTCAAAATGCACATTGTTCCCATTCATAGACAGAAATATATTACATACATATATTATGCACTTGAGGGGAGCTGTGCCTGGACATTTTGTGGCTAAAAATCAGGTAATCTTGTTAGATACAACTGACGGTTTTCCTTTGTATAACTGGAATTACGGATCATACACCATATGTAGATTATTTTATCTCTGAATTTTATCCCTACATAATACCAGGAGAGGCAACAAGAAAAAGTCACTAAAATGACAGCAAATTCATTGGACTCCTTGGGTTTGATGCTCAGTGCTTGAGTAAGATCAACTTCCTTCAAGATAAATGGGCCCTCTGGGGACAAGAATAGACACCTGAGTGATCTGGAACTCTCTAGGGAAGGAGGAAGAGGGGATGCTCCACAGTCACTGGTGATGATCAACCTTTCAAATAATTTCCAAGATGTTCATTTACAACCCTGTAATTTTCTCTTCCCTCTCCTTTAATAGTCTTCCCTCTCCTTCCCTTCTTTTCTTTCCTCTCCTCTCTCTGATATTTTTGTAGAGTTCATTATTTGCAGCAAAAAGCACTCACAAGTAAAACCAAGGAAAGCAATAACTGCAATGGCAGAAAACAGCCCTGCATCGTCTCAAACACAACAGCTGTTCCTGATTCCTTTGAAGCCCATTTTGCTCATTGCCTCTTATCAGCAGATGTTGCTGCTGGCTTTGCCCATCTTAGACCATGACACTGCTTGGAGAAAATAGATGGTATACCACCTGCATGTGACAGAGCTGTCATGGGTTGGGTCAGAGCTGAACACATTTCTGGCGTCTGGGAAATCAGTGCTCTGAACCTTTCCTGTGCTCAGAGTGGAGCAACACATTTTTTTCACTGATCTGCGAATAAGGCCCTATCCTAGAGATGTCCCATTCACCTTCTCTCTGCAGAGTCCATACTTCTGCATACATACAGATTCCTAGTGGACTAGAAAGATGGTTGAATTGGTAAAGTGCTTATCTTACAAGTATGTGAACCTCAGTTTGACCATCAGACTCCTTGTTATAAAAGCGAGGCGGGATGGCACATGCTTGTAATTTCAGAACCGGGCAGGCAGAGACAAGTGTATCCCTAGGGATACCCTGGCTAGCCAGGCTAGCCTATTGGCAAGCTCTAGGTCTGTGAAAGACCCTGTCAAAAATAAAAAGGTAGCTAGCACTTGAGGAACATGGATGGTACTCTTAGGAGTTTGGTGGCTGCCTGAGAACCAACATTTTAAAAATACCCCCCCCCATTTTCCACTTCACTTTTCACAATTCTCTTTAGGCTTAATGGTTCCGGTATTTTTTCCCCCGACTGAGGCAAGAGCTGGGGAAGTAAACACTGTCAGTATATCCTGCTGCAGTGAGCTTGCTCAGATCCGTGTGTCAGCTCAGCTCTCTGACTGCTTACAGAGGGCTAGAAAGTTGGCTCTTCTGGGGCTGGCTGACATTCCCCTGCAATGGAATTTCCTTTGCTGCACAACTTAATGGCCAGCGGCATGCTGTGCACAGATTTTGTTTTTACTCAGTAAGTTTTCCTTGAACTGGACTTGATCGAGTCACAGTTAGGAATGGAGCCTGAAGGCGCTGCCAACACATCAGCTGCAAAGCAGACATCCTGAAGGGTTTACAGTGCAGAAAAAAATTCTCACTGTGGCCTGTGAAAGGGTACGGTGCTATTGATTATGCTGGCAGCATGGTGAAATATGTTTCTTGGGCCCTGGCAGAGGAGGTAATCTTGATAAAAACTAGGGTTGGAAGAGGTGATGGATGTATTTAGATTATGTTGCTAACTCCCAATGGGCTCCAGTCTCTGTGTTTCCAAAAGACTTTGCCATAGAGGAGAAAACACATTAGAAGGAGAAATCACTGAAGCAGAGAAGGTTTGGCTTCTCCACGCCTAACACCAAAGGCATTTTTGAACTAGAAAGAAAGCAGGTCTCATCTCAAGGATATGAGAAGCTGACATGTTGTGGAGAACAGTCACTTCAGCTGAGGTGGCTGGTGGGTGGGGAGAGATGACCCAGATTCAAGACTGAATCAGAGGGAGGCTGAAAGGCGATACATCTTTGGTGCAGATGGCTGTGTTGCCCTTCTCTGTCTGGGAGTGGGGGAGCTTCATTAAAAAAGAGTAGTAGGTAACATGTAGCAGCATTATAGAAAACTAGAGAAAGGAGTTCCAAGGAAGGCCACAGGTGGCTTCAGAAAGACAGAGATGGGCATGGACCTGCGATAGTGACAGGCTTTGACAATCATACTGCTCCTATTGATCAGAGTTAACATTCCAGGTAAGAGAAGTGGAGGCCAAAGAGATATCTCAGTTAGTAAAAAACATGAGGACCTAGGTTTGATCCCCAGCACCCTATGAAAGTAAGCTGAGGACTTGGTACATGCTAGCAATCTCAGATCTGGGAAACAGAGATGGGAGGACCCCAGGGATCTCTGGTCAGCAAGTCCAGTCGAATTGACCAGCTCTAGGTCCAGTGAGGGGGCTTGTCTCACAAAATAAACTGAAAAGTGACTGATGAAGAATCTGACATTGACATCTGGCCTCTATGAGATGCATAGAGGCACACATTCACACATATGAACACACACACACACACACACACACACACACACACCAGCTTACCACCCCCTTATCCCTTATTGTCTTCTTTGAGCCTTAGGGGTTCAGAGTGTAGGGATTGTGCTGCAGACAAATCAATTGGGGCTGGGATTCCATGGTCAGTTGTTCTCTGCTCTTAAATGAGTTGTGAATCTCAGTGATGATTTACATACCCAGTGTGTACTCTTATCAAAGACTCCTCGTCCTTGTCCCAATTTCCTATTACTCGTTCCTTCCATAAGGTTGCAAAATAATTTAGTACAGGAACTCATTTTTTTTGTTTTTTGTTTTCAGTAGACTTCTGTGTAGCACTGTGTGAATGGATACTTGGAAATTCAGGACCTTCCATTTTTGGTTGTGAGCCTAGCCAGCCCAGGACCTTCCATTTTTAATTATTTACTTATTTTTTTCAAGAGTTTGACAAGAGCTTTATGTCAAATCAAAATCACCATCCTTTCTTTCCTTAAAGAATATTAAATCTTCTGGGCAAAACTCTGACTTGTCCATGGTTATCTCTGGGAATACACATTTGAATAATAATAACAACAGCTGTCACCCTGATAAGTTGTCATGCTGTAGAGCCCATGCACAGGCATTCAATAAGATTACCCCATTAAACCTTTGTGTGTCTTCAGCATAGTGTTCCAGAAGAGAACATCGAGATTCAGAGGAGGTGAGCAACTTCCCTAAGGTCACATGGCTGTGTACTGACCAAGCTCCTATTCAGAGTCAAGGAGCCAGACATCCAAGCATCAGTTGGAAGCTAGCACTTAGTCTAGAGTCCATTGAGGCTCCCTCCCTCCCTCTTCCCTCTTCCTCAGCCTGGTGAGTAAGAGGTGACATGAACACACAGAGCAGACAGACCTCATTCCCTAAATTGCTCGTGTGGAGACTCCTGTTACCCACCACCTCCTCTCCCTCTGTTTGGCAAGGGTGAGTTGTGTGGAGGGGAAGCAGGCAGCAATTGTAAACTGACACCTCACCGCCTCACTTATGCCTCACTGCCATGACTTATGAGCACACATCAGACACACAGTTGCCAAACACCCTTGCATGACATTCATTTTCCTCAGGTCCCAGCTGCTTGAGAGCCCTGTAAGAAAGCTGGGGCCAGCTCTGGGGTCAGCCGAACAAACAGATGGAGATGAGGAGAGGTGACACTCGATCAGGCCTTCGCATCTGCTGGGCCTGCCATGGCTGCTTGGGCTGCCCGATGTCTTGACCCAGCTAATCCTGGTGGTCATCCTTATGCCGGCTGTGGTATGTCACTCATCCCCAGCCCTGGGGTGACTTCTGCTTACAGAGGCTCTTATTCAAAAAGTTAAGCTGACTGGGTCCTTTTGTTTTTGTTTTTTGTTTTTTGTTGTTGTTTTTTTTTTGGCCTTGAGCTTCCCTTTGGCAGACAATCCTTGTATGGATAGATGATGCCAGCTCCTGAATATCGTACAGATAATATTAGTGTATCCATGTATTACCCTTCCTGTGTTTTGTCATCTGACACTAACAATGCACACTAACTTTGTGAGGTTAACAAAGCTTGTAGGGATTTCATAACCGAATGAAAGATAGTTTTTGTTTGAGGGAGGTCCTCTGTGTCCATGAGCAAACTTCATCCACTCACCCACAGCTTAGCAGTCACTGGGCACTTATAATTGCCAATCAGCCTTATTAGGAGGGCCCCTGCCAAACCAGAAGAGAAAAACAATTTCATCGATGCTTCTATCACACCTACGCACCACAGGAGAAAAATAAAGTTGCCACAAACAGATCTGTAAACTATCAACCCAAGAAATGCTTTATTCAAGAATAGGAGACTATGGAGCAGTTAAAAGTTGAATACATTCAGACCACTACTGAAACCAGAAAGAGAAGACGTCCCCCGTGAGACAGGCATAGGTTAGAGTGCCATGCAGGGGAACATGAGCTTTATCAGAGTTACAAGGGAATGTACAGAAGAAGGGTCTGAAACAAAGAAATGATATTAACATTCAGAGGCTATTTTAGATAGAACTAGGAATGGAAAAAGTTGAGAATGAGGCCATGACAGTACTGTGGAAAAAGAAAGATTGCTATAATAGTAATGGAGAAAAGTCAAGGTATTCCACACATTCCTTCTGGTCATATAGGATCCAAATATATGTACATGTACACAGATAAATAAATAAATCACTGCAAAAAATTCATGTACTATAGGAAGTAAATGGACAGCTGAATATAGATTTTTCTAACAGAACACTCTATGGCATGAGAAGAAAATTAAACTCTGGATATCTTGACTATTTAACCTAGGAACATGTGTAATACATCACAATTTGCTAAATAATGTTATCCTATGAGCTATTTATCAAATATATAAGATACATATATTTTATATGGTAAGTAGAAAGTAGAGTGTACACATCAAAATGGACAATAAGATGCCATTTTTACTACATCTGCAAAGAGAAAGTCTATCAAGACCAATAGCATTAGCAGAGTGCTCCCTCAGATGCTAGGAATGACAGGTGATTATCAGTCACATATCTGTCATACAAATGGTTTTAGCTTGTTTCCACTATATAATAGAATACTACTAGAATAATTATAGTATATAGTATACAAACTATCATATTACCATAATTAAGAAGCTAATTTAAAAATTATCTCTACTATAGTTAGCAATTATCAACAATGAGTATTAAATATAAGTGATATAAATAGAATCTGCATTACATAATACGTATCTACCTATCTATCAACCATCTATCTGTCTTTCATTTCTCTCTCTCTCTCTCTCTCTCTATATATATATATATATATATATATATGTAGTATGGTTAAACATAATTGCCTTCAACAGTGAACCTTGGAATATTGTATACATATCTGTATGTGCTGTAATGCAATATTTTATTAATTCTTTGAGATTTAATAAAATATATTTTGATTGTATTGACCACAGCTCCTCTCTTCCCCACCCCTCTATACTTTATGTCCGTTTTCCATTTTTTATCTCTCCTTTGTGTTTTTTTTTGTAATCTTTATTCACTTCCTTCTGGAAGTTTTTTCTCAGTCCCTTCTTTTTTTTCAAATTTTTTTTTCCATAAATAGGAGGACTATATTATTTTTCATTAAGTTTCATTTATGTTCAAGAATAATAGGTAACAACACAATCAAGACCACAAATACATACTGCTGTCTTAGCTGAGTCTGTACATCTGGTCAACCTATTACTGTCTCTTGCTCAGTGTGCATTCCTCTTGTAGTTTTCCCTCTGCCATTTTGAACTCTTATTGTTCTTACCCTTTGTGTTTAAGCTATAACTAAAGATACCACTTTGTGCTTTGTTCCTTTCCTGATAGGTATTTATATCTTTGACTGCTTCTGACCATGTAGATACCACACTTACTAGAAGCAGACAATGTGTTATTTCCTGACTTGCCTCATATCAATGCCCATATGATGTTTCCTACTTAATCAGTGCTCCATAAGTGAAAAAGTATATAATTTCCAATGGAAGAGAGATGGTTTAAAGTATTCACCCTAGAAGTTTTGGCCAGCCAAAATATTGCCAGATCCAAACAGGTTTCTAGTTTACCAGGAGCAGATAAGTAACACAGATGTATTCAAATTTAGTGGGGAATTGGGAACAAATGATTCTGGAGCCTCAAGTGAGGAACTTTTACCACTTCATAGGCTATGTGGCAGTTTCAAGGCCTTCATACATAAGACTTGGAAGTGAAAGTCAAATGTAATTAAAAATACACATCTTACAGATGTCTGGATGCTGTTCAAATTCCCAAAAGTGTGATAGAAAATGCAGTTGCTTTCCATATTTTTAGGGAAGGAAAAAGAAAAAGGCCATCATGACCCCTTGGTATCCTTATTGAAAGAGTATGTTCAAGTGATGTGTTGAATTTGGAGTGTTATCTCAGCTGCTTGATTTTCTTTTTAGTGGCACTGCTCACAGCCCCGGAGCCCAATACACAGCAACTGGAGGAACATGTGATTTGTCCCAGGAGATGAAAAGTCCTTATTATTTTTAGCATATGCTAAGTAAGTCTAGGTGAGTACAGCATAAATGTAAGCACAATTTATGAGAATGAGAAAAACATAAAATTCTGAGACTCCCTTTCTAAATTCAAAAATAGAACAAAATTCTCTTAGCATTTTTATACATCATCTTTTTATATTTTTAAAAGGATTGCAATGTTACTTATTTTCCTTTTTCTTTCATAAGTACTCTCTAACTACATCCAGCTGCCTGGCTTTGTTTATAATAACCTGTTTACTTATCATCAATTTAAACACATGATCTGAACATCTGTCTCCTTCTAGTCCTTATTTGCTTTTGCTCTTCATGTTAGTTTGAACTTGAAGTCAACATCCTTTTCTCTGGAACTCTGAAAACTTTCTGAGGCCCCAGGGGTGTTTCTTTGTAATGGGGTTGAGAGGTGTGTTTAGTTTAAAATTTTACATTCCCTACCCAATACTAAATTAGTATTGGGAAAAAGGAAGGGGAAAGAAGAAAGACAAGAGGAGCAAAGCAGGAGAAAAGGTTCGTCTGTGTTTCACAGGCAGAGAGTGAACTGAGAAAGAAAGTTACTTTGTTTTGCCAGACAAAGACAGGCTATCAATTTTCAGAAATGTGCATTCCCAAGACAACTGCTCATGTCTGCTAAGATGTCTACTTCTTTGAACTTACATACCAGGAAGTATTTTCTTCTTTGTATCAAAATTTGAAGAATACAGTTAATAATACCACATGTATTATTTAAGTAACATTAGACTGACAATTTCATTAATTCCAACAGTTAGATTTTAAAAAGAATGGAAAAGAAAGGATGCAGAACTGAATGGACTCCTAAATGCAACCTACACAAATACAAGCTTTGGTTGACTATTTTTAAAACTTGCATGTCTACATATAAAATATATGCATGTGTGTACTTATTTATGAGCATATGCATCAATTTGCTAGTTTTTTACATATATCCATATATTGATGAATCAATGATAACTTGGCATATCTCAAATAGGACTGATTTTCTCTGACAAAAATAGTATTCATTAAAGAGATAGATATTAGAGTATTTCTAAACCACTTATAAACTTTCTTTTGATTTTGTTCCTTTTTCCTCTCAGTTTTAGACACTGATGGACTAAAATTCTTGTGCAAATAAAACTCTAGCTATACATGCATACACTGCACACCCAACAAACACACAGACATACATAGTGGGCCTTCCCTATGTTTCCCAGCAGCATTTAATTGCTGGATCTTTGAGACAGGGCTCCTATTACTAAGACTGCCCAGTATACATACCTTAGTCATACAACCCCCCCACTGCATCAATCACCATGCACAGGCTAGTTGAAACAGCTGTTGAAAAGGGTCCCAAGGATTCTTAAAAAGTTGTTGGTTGCTCCTGTATATTTATAGTATAGGGACACATGAAGGTTGGGTTAGGGTCATCTAGACCATGGATTGTTACCAAGCTGATAATCTGAATTATTTCACATATCTGGTAGAAACTAAGCTTTCCTTATTTTTCCCTTAAATATTTAGGTGAGTTTGTACACATATGTGTGCAAGTTTGTACAGGAATGTGAGTATGTGACATTAGAGAACTGTCTTTAGGGACATTCTTGTGGTGCCTTCCATTCTTTGTTTGAGGCAGGGTCTCTCTTTTCTATAAAGGCCAGGTGAGCTAGCTCACAACCTTCCAGGGATCCTCTTATTTTTACCTCCTACTTCACTACTGCTATCAAACCTTGTTTTTGTGTGGGTTTTGAGTATTGAATTCAGCTCCTCAATTTAATTCAAGAACTTTACTGATTGAGCTTTGTTTCCTGCCTCTCATGTCCTTTTGTGTTGAGATATGCTACATAACCTAGACTAGTCTTGATCTCCAGGGCCTTCAGTGTTTGGAATATATATCTGTGTCATTGTGCCTAGATTATCTCAGATATTTTGATTCAGCAGGATGAGGTAGTCCATGAGAATGATTATGATTCCTAAGTGCCTTGGATGATTGCTATGGGCAAGTATAGTATGGTATACAACTTGTGCTGCATTGGTGGTTCATATACAAAGAGCCTCAGCATTACTTGGAAGTACATTAGGACAGCATCCAAGATCCCACCACAGTTGACTAGTTGAACTTACATGTTGATGGGATTCTCGGTTGATTCATGTGTATACCCATGAGAAGGACTGATCTAGTGTCATGTGGAACAGAGCAAACTACTTTGGTTAGAAATTACAAAATTCACTTGCATCACTCCAAAATCTATTTTGTTGTATTTTATTAAAAATTTGTCATAATAGGGCTGGAGAGATGGCTAGAGATTAATATCCCTGACTGCTCTTCCAGAGGTCCTGAATTTAATTCTCAGCAACCAGATTGTGGCTCACAACCATCTATAATGAGATCTGATGCCCTCTTCTGGCATGAAGGCAGACACTGTATACATAATAAATAAATTTTACAAAAGAAAAAAATTGTCATGATATATATATATACACACAGTGCTTATATATAATACTATATATTGATAAATGTTATGTAACAATATTATATAATATACAAATATATTAATTAAATATAAGTATTTGTGGTTATATATTATATGTAATTATGTATTGTATACTATACTATAATATATGTAATTCCCTTCATTTAAAAACATTATATGTTTATGCCATGAGTGCCTGATGCCCAAAGAAGCAGAGAGAGCAGTTGTGAGCTGCCATAAGGGTGGACAGAACCAAATCCAAGTATGCTGCAATAGTAATAAGTACTTTGAATCACCAAACCCTCTCTCTAGTCAGTTCCTATCCTGTCACATTTTGAATCTCATTTTAGAGATTGTGATTTCATAATATTGGAATCTATTGGCTGAAACAAATTTATTCATCATAGTGTCAGCCTACCGTGCGATTGAATGGACCCCATTACACAGCCCTATTCTTTGGGAAGAGATGCTCACTGGTGGAGGATCTAAGAAAAAAACATGCCTTTCATGTCTTCAGGAAGTCCAAGTGTGTTGGTTAAAGCCTGAGTTTGGAGACTGAAAACTGCTAACTTTGAACCCTGAGTGCTTTTACTCAATGAATGCTGTTGGGCATTGATTGTTTTGTTTTGTTTTAACTTTTTGGGGTCAGTTTTCTTGTGTGTAAACAAGAAAATTGAGATGCTCCATCTCACAGTGTTCCACATCTCATACCATAAAGGCTATTGTCTTAAACACAGGAATAACCACAGAAACTTGTTGTGGTTTGCTGTATTGATGGGGAACCTAGGGCATCTCACATGCTAGAGCTCTACCACTGACCTCAATTGCCAGCTCTGTGTTTGGTTTTTAATTGAGATATAATTTGTTGACCTTAAAACTTACCTTTTTCAAGTATGTTGGGAATGTTTTGGGCTTGAGGTCTATTTTAGCGAATTCTTGCTTATCTTTTAACAAACATTTTAAGATCTAGCTGATTCTGTAGATAGACACAGTTTATGTAAATTCAGAAAATCTGGGGAGGAGATAACATGCAATTTCACAGGAACCCAGTGAATTATTTGTATGTGCACAGTTTTCTATGCTTGAATTCTGAACCTATTTCTCTTACACCTGTAATTTTGCTCAATATTTATGATCCAGTATGTTAAGACCCACAGACTTTTGCATCACATTGGGACCGTTTGAAGAACAGTATCAAACAAGGTCTACCAAAGAGGAATTAAAGTGGATGGCAAATTACAATGTTCCTAGCTGAGCCTCACACCTAACGTGTGAATTCACTAAGACTTAAATGAAGCTTCAGAAAAGAGGGTTTATAGAAGTTATCAAAGTCAAAACTCCCAGATTGGGATTTGGTAATGGGAGAATGGACAAGAAAGAACACTTCCCATGATGCCTGCTCACCTATGCGAATAAGCATTGTGACCTGTTCTGCACCCCGCAGCTTACTTGATTTTTTAAAGATGTATTGTTTTTATTAATGTGCATATGTGTTTGTATATGCCTGGAGGGGTCAGAAGAGGACGTGGGAGCTACTAGGGGCAGAGTTACAGTTAACTGAGCCTAGTGAAATAGCTGCTGGGCACTAGATTGGCATCCTCGGGAAGAACAGGAAGGGTTCCTAACTGCTTAGCCATGTCACCAGCCTCCTAGCTTACCCCTTGGCCTGCCTCTCCTGAGAAGCACAACCTGCTACTAATTCTACTTATTTCTGGTTATGAAGGAACAGAGATGTGAATTATGTATGAGCTGAATCACAGAAAATACTGGAATGAGTCTCAAAATTATTTTTCTCATTATAATAACTTGGATATATGATAAAAGTGATAGACATGCTAAATATGAAAAGTAGTTATTATCCAAGTCAGTGATATTATTTTGAGTGATCATAATCAACACCATAAGTTGCCATCAAACATTTATTTCCAACCACCACCAATGACAGTGTAAAAAAACTTGATAGTATATATCAAGAACTGTCAGATGTGAACACTTTTTAAAACTGAATCTGAAGTATAAACTCAGAATATTTTAAAATGACCAACATATGCCTCAATATAATTAGTTTTCTTTCTCTCAAAAAGTTACATGTTAGTAATTTTTAAATTATATGGGAATCAGGATTGAGCAATAAGTACAGAGACTATAGATAAAACCAGAAAGCTTTAGAATATCAGGTAGAACAATTGAAAATATTGAAAAGATAGAAGCTAGAACACGTCCTGTGCTATTGACCTGGGATGGGTGGTATTCATGATTTTTATTTACATACACAATAATTTAGAGGTATGGACCAAAATAGAAAATCACACAAGCACATAAAACATCATTATTCTAACATCTATCAGTTTTATTAATCAGACTGATAAACAGGAACAGATGAGAATATAACATCAAAGAAACAGAACAGATGTGTGTATAGCATTAAAATGGAATTCATTCAGCCTCAACCAGAAAATTCTCCCTACTGGATAGCTTTGAGGTATCAGAAGATGCTATGGTCTCACCCACCATTGGATCCTGCATGATACAATACTGACATATCTG